AAACATTAAACATTTTGAAACAGACTTCTTGGAGAACGGCACAACAGCCTCTCTGGCAGCCTTTCGCCGTATTCCTCAATGGTTATTTTTGTTCCTCCGTCTAAAAACAACAGCGCAGAGGGAGGAAGGGAACACATGGACTCCTCGTGCGGCCAGAACTCTTCTTGAAAGTTGCCAAAAGATCTAGCAACAGCTGAGCCCATGGGAAGCCAACATCCACGTGGACAACCTGCCTGGGCTCATCAAATGGCGAGGGGTCAAGGGTAATTAGCCTCTTCAATGACGACTTGGATCATTTTGCAGGGAATGACTGAAGTGAGCCGTCTTCCTTCCTTTTCCCTCTCTGAATAGGTAGGGGCCTTGGGGAGTGTCCCAGATCCTGGATAACACTCCATCCTGGTCATTCTAGGAAAAAGAGTATGGCAGTGGCACCTTGTAAGGCAGTCCCGTTGGAGGGGTCACAAATGACTTGGACAGCTGGAGGGCCACCTGCCCAGATGAGGCACAGCTAATGGAAATGGTACTGGGATGGGGATCAGGACAGCTGGCTCACGGGTCTACTCTGCACTCACTCGCTGTTCCCACCTCTCAGCCCCCATCCCCTCCCTGGGCAACAGGGACTCTAGCAGTGGCCACGCCTTCCTCATGAATAGTCAACAGGTACATTATAGGACATGGGGAAGAGCTTCATGTAAAGCACAAGCTTTCACAAATGGAATCATTAACAAGGATCATTTCTTCTACAAACAGGGTCATTAACAGGATTTTTTAACATAATTTATGGGGTTAGTGAAGGTTTGCCTTTGGGACTAAGGAACAGCACCCAGATGGCCATTGTGAGTGTGTGTGTGTGTGTGTGTGTACATCTGTGTATGCGGCGTCCAACACCTGCCCTGATCACACAGCGCAGCTCCCTCTCTGCTCAGGCCTCCCATTTCCCCCCCTCAGGGTGAGACTACCCACCCTCCCACCTCCTAGTGTCACAACTAATACAGCATTTTTCACTTATTTCCTTTCTTGTGTCACTCAGAGGTCAGCCCTCACCCCGTCTTCAGATGACAGAAGGACCCGGTAAGTGACATAAAAGAATGAGCCAGCCTTGACAGGGGGAAATGTGGCCACCCAAACATGACCTACGCCATCCAAGGGGCCACCATTACTCAGCCCCTGAACTTGCTGGGTCCTCCAATCTTCCAAGGGCAGATGGAAATCTGGAATTTCAGGAAAAATCTTTGAAATGTTGAAAGGTTATCTAATCATTTTTACATGTTTGATATGCCTTGGAATCAAACCAGAAACACTTGTGCATGAGCTGAGGGTTTGGAAACTCTGATCTGAGCTGACTCCGTGTTTTTACAGGTACAGATCACCGAGTCCTAAAAACAGCACAGCGAAGTTCAAAGACCATGGACTTGGGGCGAAGACCAAGGTCCCAATCTCTCCTCTCCTGTAACTTGCTGTATGATCTTAGGTAAGTTTCCTACTCTGTCTTAACTCCACTTTCCTCATCTGTGAAAGGGGGAATTATACTTGTATACCCTCTATGAGGGTTTTGGATAAAATAAACAAGATCATAGATAATACAGGAATATCACCTGGTACATTAATTGGCAATAACTGTCTCCTTTCCTCTGAAGGCCAACAAGTTCACGGTGTAACTGGAGAACCCATAACCCTCTATCTCCTGAACCTGTCTCGGTTCTCTTCCTCACTGTCTCTCGGTGTTTCCCTGCTGTGCTCGTTTCCAGAGATGCCGGGTGTGATTTATCCTGGACCCTGAGCACAGGACTAGGACTTTATTTTTTTTATCTTTACTGTATTTTTTCCATTACCATTTAGTCCCCTTATGCCCTCCTTCCCCAGCAATCACCACACTGTGGTCCACGTCCATGAGTCCTTTCTCCTTTTTGCTCAGTCCCTCTGCCCCCACCTCCCCCGCCCAGCTGTCAGCCCACTCCCCATCTATCAGTCTGTCCCCATCTTCCTTGTCAGTGCAGTTTGCTCATTAGATTCCACATATGTGTGACATCATAGGGTTCAGGACAAGGACTGTAGACGTCTCCCTTCAGATTTACCTGTTCCCCTTCACCCTCTATAGTTCTCAATTTCTTCCCTGAAATGAAAGTGACGACCAGTGTGTTAAGGACACAATAAATCTGCATTGTGTTCCCCCTAAATCACAGCAGGCCCATTCACGAAACCCCAAATGCCCAGGAGTCTGGGATCAGCCTCTGATTTGACATTCAGTGTCTAAGGAATGTGTGTTAAAGTGGAGGTGTTATTATTCAGACATGGTGAGGCCAGACCGATCAAGAGACACTTGCAATTGAAAAGACATTTGTTACCCGCAGTTCCTGAGAGGAGGGACCAGGCCACACCATGAAGGGCCACAGAAGCGAGCCCCAGGGTCGATGGGGAGGCAGAGGCAGAAGTAGGCAGGAGCCTCTGTTGAGGTTTCTGCAGGTTATGTGGGAACCAGTGGGGTGAGCAGGCTTAGGACTGGCTGGTTGGAAAGGTCTCAACAGGCTCTGGGGTTTAGAGACTGTGTCTAGTTGTCTGGTACCTGGCCCTGGGGTGATGAGGGCAGTGGGACAGTGGCCCCTGTGAGTCTCAAGGAGGTGGCTGCTGGTTCCACACACCCCCCCCCCCAACTCCTGAATTGGTTGGTTCGCATATGAAAGGTATCTTCACAGGCAAGCCCTCTACTATCTCTAAAACCTGCCTATCCCTGGGAGGGGCTGTCCTTCCTGGATCAGCAAGGTCTCGCCTGATGTCAAAGCATCAGAAATACAGAAAACATAAAGGCCTGCTTTATACAAAACATTCTCACACTGGGGACTATTGGCCCCTCCACACATCACTGGATCGATGTCAGCAAGCTGGGGAAGAGGCTTCCCTAACATTTCCCCAGTGTAAGAAAGAGGAAGGCTTCCTAGGGAATGGTCCCTGTGAAGAAGAGAAGGTCAAGGTGCTCAGGAGGGAAAGGCAGTGGGAAATTAACGCCCCCCCCTCCCCCACTTACCTCAAAGCAGGGCTGGGCCTGCTGCTAAGAAACAACAACAAAGCCTTGGTCTTTTTTTATTTGTTTCTTGGTAAACAGGGTGTAAGGCTGTGGTCGCTCCCCTCCTGGGTTCTCTTCCTGAGGCTGAGTGAAGCCCCACTTTCTCTGAGTGGAGACAATCAAATTTGAACACAGAGATTCAACAGAACGAGATGATTTTGCTTGAGTTCATTGACCTTTATCAGAATTTCTGGAGCAGGAATCTGCGTGCAGCGTCCTCCGCAACTGTTCCCAGGAAGAAGGACCCTTCTCTTCTGGCTCAAGTCCAAGTCCTCATCCCAAGCACCTGACCCGGGGAAGCATATTCCAGTGCACAGAGTTCTGAAACCAAATTTGGGAACCCTTAAGAGGAAACAATGAAAACAGCACTCAGGCCGGCAATATCTAGAGAATACAGCTTTTCTTCCTGTGACTGGCTGAAAAAACCATCACATTTCTCAGTATTTCTCCACCTGAGCCTTGGGTTCCAGACCAGATCACATCCAAATCCTGCTTGGAGACTCCTGTTACTTCCACAAGATCATCAGAGGAGGGTGGTTAGGCGTTCATACGCAAAGCCGTGCTCGTGAGAAAAACAAATGTTCTTACAACCAGAGGACCACGGTTTCAGAGACTGGACAACATTTGACTATTTAAGAAAAAAATATTTTTATTTGCATGAAATGGAATACAAAAGCATAACAATTTTGATTCATTTTTCCCAGACTAAGTACAAGTTACAAAGCATTTATTTATTTTTTTGGTATTTACTAAGATAAGATAAAGAATAAAAGTCATTAAAATAAACAGTGTAATACAACATATAATAGACCCGCGATGTCTTAGACGGACACACTGCTGGTCTGTACAACCTGTTACAAAGCAGAGGAAAGGCCAGCTGTCAGCATAAACGTTAACGCTCACCGTGGATTATAATTCAGGGTCCGCTCAGCGTTGTTTAAAAAGGGGCACTCACAGTGTGTCCCAGGATGCTGGTGTTTCTATAGACTCATAAAGCGTCTTTTCCGAAAGATATATTCCCTAAGCGGCACAGGCCTTGGGTCCATGGTGCCAAGAGCTCATGTTCTCACCCAGCTGGTGAGCAAAGGATAAGGGCAGAGAAACACGGATAGGACCCCGTTTGTTTCCCTTTCCAGGATGCAAAGCCCTTGAGCCGGAACTCGTAGAAGATTGGATGAAAAAGACAAGAGATGAGCATTGTATCTGCAGGACACCACCAGCGTGAGGCAAAGCACGGCCTTTGCACGGTGGGGCTGCACAGGGAGCGGGCACTGTGTTTGCTGCCTGCAGAACTTACACGTTTACAGTGTAAGTAAACCAAGGAATCCGCTCAACCTAATCCACAGACTGATGAACTTCCAACACCATTTAGCTGTTTATCCAGCTCGGAGTCACTAGTTGCCCTGGTTTACTCTGCCTGCAAAATGAAAAGACTCAAAATTTATTTAGCAGAGCACCCAGCACTTTATTAGTGCTCATGAAATATTTTTTCCCCTTTCTTCTCGAAACCAAGAGAAAAAGAAACCGTTCCTAAAATTTAGGTTGCCCCAGATGACTGAAAGAATCAACATGCGGATTTTTTCCTGTGCTGAGTGCTGACCCTTTGGCCACAGGGCTGTGGGACGTTAATCCCCAAACAGGCCTCGTTCCTCTGCACCGAGAAAATGCTCTGCTATATGGAGTTATAATACCCTTCATCCTGGCTGGCTGTTTTTTCCTGTGATTACACCTCTCCAAAATGGGATTTTCCTAATGGACAAAGCCCTGATTCTTCTCTCCTGGTGGACACATCTGGTCACTGCTCACTCTTGGGAAGTGGTTCATTTTTGAGCCATTAGAGGAAACCATTCCTCCCACAGCCATCTCAGTCTAACACTACAAGGCCATATATAAAACCTCCCAGGAGCAGCAGTCCTCCGTCATCCTGGACTCGTACGTAAGGCACCTGTGAGGCAGGAATGAGTGTCTAAGACAGAGAGAGAGGGGAGAGAGAGGGAGAATCCCAGCACTTGTGTGTTTGAGTAGCTATTGATTAATGGTATTTCCTTAGCCCTCTTCTTCCCCGGGGCCTCCTGCAACACTGCTCCTCTGGAGGAAGGGAATGAATGAATGAATGAATGAATGAATGAATGAATGAATGGCCTGAAATCTTTCTCTGGCTCCTCTAATGGCACTGCCATATTTTTCCTAATTGTCTCAATGGAAAAGCATTCAAATGAAATGACTCTCCCTGCGCCACTACCTGCTCAAGCTTTCACAGGCCAGCACCGCAGGTAGGCGTGCTGGTGTCTTTAATACAGGTTCTCAGAGACAGGATTCGACAGAACCACGCAAGCGCCGCATGGCAGACAAGGGGAGGCTGGAAGCCTCCTCCTCCACCTCCAGCCTCCACGTGAGCGAGGCCAGCATGGACGGTCCACTCCTCTGCGGGATGTCTCCACTGGTGCACGTGCTGACATCCACCTCCCCTGGGACAGGTGACAGGTGTGTTCAGAGGAGCTGGCCCGAGAGGCCTCGGATTCTGTTTCTGTGCTTTTGCTTGGTCTGGGGATATGGGAGGAAGGAGCCATGAAGTTCTGAACGTTTTACATAAAACACTGGTGACAGAAACTCTGGACACTGACTCACTGTGGGAATGAAAACGAGTCAGCTCAACACTGCTGTTCTGTGGGCACATGAGATTCACAGCCCCCTTTTGGCATTCAGGCTAAACCCAGAGATTTAGGAATTCAAAACCATGGTATTTATACTTGGCTTGTAAATAAGTTGAGCTAAAGGCTGCTTTCACAATCCGCAAATTAGGTCTCCAAATAAAAATCGCTGATAGAAACAAAAAGGTCATCTCATTTTGCCTACACGGGTGTCAAACTTCACCCCAGCTCCCGCCCCAAAGGGCGACCTCGTTTGGCTGCCGGTTTTTATGTAACACTCTCTCTATACGAGCTAGGCTCCAGAGTCCTCACACTTCACAGGATCCTCTCCCAAAATGGGCACCGAGGCCTTTGGTTTTCAGTATCCATTTCGAAGTGCAAAGTTGAGATCTGTGAAAAGAACCGCACTGGGGGGTCTGGGTTACTCAGGGCTCATCCAGTGAAAAAGCACTTGTTCTCTGACTTTCTGTAAGAGTCTCCTTCCAAGGAGGTAATCAAAGACAGGGAAGAGGAAAATCTCTTTGCATGATGTGATACAGAATTAGCAGATGTATCATCAACATACGTATTTCCTTTGGTTTACCCTTGCACTGACAGTCTTGTGTTCTCCAAAACTGAAATTCGGAAGCTGGGCCAGTCACTGTTTGAGATTGTCAGGGCTCACCGGGGGCTGCTGACTACTCTGAGGGGCCTCCCTGTGGGAGAGTCAGATCCACTGATATTCTCGGCTTAGCCCTGGGACAGAAAACATGCACACGTCCGTGAATTCTTTGAGACGCACCCACTGTTACCCAACTCTCCTCTGTCTCTCGACCCCATGGCACACTCCTGAAGGGCGAACTGTTTATTTTCCTTACTCACCAGAGTGGGGAGTGGAGGGCACAAGTTTTCTCTATGTGGAGGCAATACTGGCTCTTGGAACCCCCTTAAACTGGCCATATGAGCTCTCAGTCTGATGCCTCATGTCTATAGATGCAGATTCTGTTCAGAAAAACGGTTTCCCAGGGGGCAGGCCTGGCTGCAGGGAGGTCTGGAGAGAGTGTGTAGCCATTTACTGATTTTTTATTGAATGGACGGGGGTGACATTGGTTAGTAGGGTCATATAGGTTTCAAGTGAACATCTTTACGATACGTGAGCTATGCGTTGAGAAAGTGACATCAAACACGGGAAGGTGGGACAGAAACGCAATCCTCACGGCACTAAGGACAGGGCCTGCCCCTGCGCTGCCCCTCCCCTGTGCCCCCTCATTCAGAAGAGTGGGTTTTCCACTCTGACCAGTTCACAAGCATTAAGGCCCTGGTCTGGTTCTAGTGCTGCAGGTGGGGGGCTGACCCATTCTCCCACTTCTGCCCTGAACGGGGAGACCTTTTCCTTTGAGTTGTCCAAATACTACATGAGTTCATTCTCTCTTGTTTCCTTCTTGGGCCCTGCAGGGCTGCCTAAGCCTGATAATTACATGACATTTACAAAGAGAGAGGGGTCGGCAGGGGCACATGGTTCCCAGACACCAGCCAGGCCGGGAGAATCCAGAGCAGAAGAGAAGGAGAGAAGGGAGAGAAGAGAAGCCAGAGCAGGAGGCAGGCTAGCAACGCCTGTTCCCACACAGCCCAGATGGTCTCAGCCCTCCCCCGCCAATGTCAGGGCCAACATCAGGGGCAGTGAGAACCGTGCAGACCACCCCCAGGGATGCCAGGACCACTGCAGCCCCGACTCTGCTCTCACACCCTGCTGAGAAGACGCACTTGGCCCTCCCCCAGTCTGGACCACCCTCCATTACAGTGGGAGACACGGGAATCACTGACAGGGAGCCCCAGATGTGCCTGGGCCAACAGACAAACAGATCTGCCTACCAGCTAGGATGGCAAATGTTAATGACCCCAAATCCTGTATCTGAGAGAGGATGGAAGGCCCAGCTATGGGCTTAATCCCTCTTAAATACAGGTTCCAATAACAGTGTGTGCTGGGGGGAAGAGAGAGATTGAGAGATTGAGAGAGAGAAAGGAATTAAAGCTAAAAGGCCCCTTTTTCTTCTACTAAAAATAAAATACAAAATGGTCCTATGCAAAATCGTTTACAAGCTGGGAAAACACTTAAGCACAACTTTCTACATTGTACAATAAAAAGGCAATTTCCATTGCTTATCTGTATGAAAGGAAAGATAGTTTTAACTACAAAAGTGACTTTAATCATTAAAAAATAATAATAAAAGTAGGGAGGGGGTTTAGGTTATGTCTCTTTGGGTGAGCTGCAAAGTAGCCAAACCTGACTAGGAAAGGTAAGACTGTGGATACACAGATGTCACCTACTCCCACCCCAGGAACTGACCTCAGGCCCACCTCCTGCTGAGGCAGAAGAGGAGGGTACAGGGTGGGGGGGCGGGGCCAGGAGCAGTGTGGAGAGACAGGCTAGCAAGGTTGCCCGGGACGCCTGTTGTCAGGGACAAGGCCTCCCTCCTCTGCCGCGGGCACGGGACAGACGAAGCACCTGGCCACAGAGTCACGGGCCTAAGCCATCTTTTCCTCTGAACCCATTCTACAGGTGGGCAGCTGCTTGCAGGGGTTTTCCAACTACAGCGAGAGGCCTCCAGTAGAAAGAAGAAAAGGAAATGAAGCACGTTGTAGAGGACTGGGGGTCCCGGGGCCTGGGCGGCCCTCCTGGCGCCAAGGTCCAACAGAAGACCTTGGGAGGCGTCCAGTCTCTTCGATGTGGTTGCTAGCGGGAGCTTCGGCAAGCTAATAAATACTATTTACAAATGGGGAGGAGAAGCCAGGGAGGCGGATCTATGGACGTGTGGGAACACAGGTTACGGAGAAGTCCTACAAGCAACAGACGGGGCAGGTTTGCCTGGGGTGGAAGAGCCTGAGTCCGTCAGGCATTGCACTTGCGGCCTGAGAAGGTGAAGGGGGCGCCCTTGCTCCAGAGCTGGAGGACAGCAGGCAAGGGCTGGAGGGCTCGGGCAGAGCAGAGTGGCAGGGGCCAGTCACTGGCCAGCCTGGCGCCTCCAGGGCTGATGGGCAGGGGTGGCAGCGGACACACCAGACGCCCAGGCTGAGGGTGCTGGGACCTCAGTCAGTGCTTTGCCACGTCCCAGCAGGCATCCTGGTGTCTTTCCAGATCAAGTCTGGGGTCTCCAATGAACGAGTCATCTCTTCTTCAGAGAGGGGGTCACACCCGCAGGTGAAAATCAGGCAGCGTCTCTCCGGCACTATCGTAGAAACAAGCCCGCTTGTCCCACCCCGGCCCTAGAGTAATGTCCTATGGCAATAAGCAGAGCGGACGGAGAGCCCCGGGCTCCGTCTGCAGAAAGGGCCCCGGGGCTGGAGGGGAGGCACTCTCACCGTGGGTGGGACCCCCAGGCTGTCCTCCCATCCAAAGCCACAACCGCTCACCCATGTCTTCGTCCACATCGGGTGGGGAAGAGGGAAAGCTTATGTCGGAGGTGGTTTGGGGACGTAAAAGCAGAGCGGAGAGTAAGAGGGAGGTCCAGACCGCCTCTCAGAAGGTGGCGTTCACTCTTCTGTCGAGTTCTACGACTTTGAGTGTTTCGTTCCCCTCCAGTTTGGCGCCGACCCTGTGAAGAAGGCATTGAAAGGAGAAAGAAGTCTTAGCCACATTTGGCAGGGAGACAAATCCCCCCGATGTCAACTCTGTGGGCTGGTTCAAGGGCGATTCTTGTTCCTTCCCACCCTGGGCAACGCTCGGTGCCCAGCCTCCCACTCGCAGCCTATCCACTGCCCCCTTTCCTGCCTTTCTCCCGCCCAGGGAGGGACATCCCAGCCCAGGGGAGCAATGTGGCAGCTTGATACTGATTTGTCACGTATTGCCGTAAAGCACTGTATTGACTGCAGGTGGTCGGTCCTACGCTAGACTCTGGGAAGAGGAGGATATAAGGATAAAGGTTGATCCCTGGTCTGGTGTAGCAAATAATACAAAGAAAGACAGAGAAACCTAACTTGAAATAATAATAAATATGCAACAGGAAATAAATATGTTATTGATTGTGCAACAGTCTAGGAATTCTGCAGACGCTCAGAGGAGGAATACACGGGCTTCTGTCTCCGGGAGACATCACCCCAGATGGGCAGGGTTTCAATGAGTAGTTAGCTAAGAGGGGAGGCGACTTGTGTCCTGAACCAACTAACAAGGAGCTGAGTCTCCACGGGTCTAGCATTTCTCTATAATGGGGATAATAATAACAATGTGTAATATCTTCAAGTGTTTAATGAGACTTATACATCATGTCTGCATAGTGCTTGAAATGGTGCTAGTATGTGTTGAATATGCACACAATGTAAACCTGCAAAATTACACGTGACTCAGAACCTTCCCCACCCCATTATGGGAGGAAAGCTAGAGAATTAGGAACAGAATCTCTCCCCCTGGAACAGCGTCACTTCTGGGAGGCAGAGGGGCCGAGTGCCTTCAGCGCCATCACCAGCCAGGCCACACCTAGCCCAGAGTACGCCTGCCGGCCCTCCTTCCCGCACTGTTTGCTGCTCCCACGGACCTCCCCTGACACAGTCACGACACCTGGCACTCACACAGGCCTGTCTGTCTACAAAAGGACTCGTCTCCATAACCACCTAAGGGGAGCAACTCACGAAGAACTGGAGCCAAACACGTCCTTCTCAATATGGAAACACAGACAGGCACTAGGCTTTGTCAACGGTGCCCCTCAACATAAATGTGTGATTATAACTCATGCATGTTTATTTACACGAAGCATAAAACTATATGCTGATATACAGCAAAACATATAGGCTGCCTCTGCATAGCAAGCGTTCTTCTGTGACTGGGCTGTGCCACTCCTGTGGCTTTGAGGGGACAATGAAGAGAGTAAGGAAGGGAGTCAAGCCGCTGTCCCACTTTGTGGAGTCACCACTGCCAGCTCGCCAGTGACACTGCATACATGGGTGGTGGGCGGTCTTTTCCCCATCCCTGCTAAAGGCAGCCGTCGGCAAACAGTAGGCCCTCCAGAGTCGCGGGCCCTGGACACAGGTCCCAAAAGAGCCAAAGGCCTGGGCGAGGCTTGTGGGAGTGTCTCGGCCCCGCAGCCCAGGCTGCTGACTCCTAGCCCCGCGTCTGGCAGTGAGAGGACTGGACCTGTGTCCAGCTGACTCACAGGTGCTGCTGCAGCTCCAACAGCACCGACTTCTCCAGACTGGTCTCGTTGGAGATGAGGAAGCGCGGAAGATCCAGGTCCGGCCTGGACTCCAGCCCTGACGCCCTGAGCAGGGCGGGGCTTCTGTCCCAGCGCCCAAGCTCCCCGGCCGAGGCCGGGCTGGACGGCTCCTCCAGGGCAGAGTGTTCCTCGTAGATCAGCAGGTTCCTGGATTTCACTAAGGACAGAGCACAGTGCCAGGCATTAGGGAGAGACCATGAGGGCACATCCCATCCCCTCCCTCCATGCCCAGGGCTGGGGCAGATGCAGTTTGTGGGTCATACTGCCCCAGACCCAGGTGCCACCTGAAGTCTGCCTTCCATGAATGTTTCCGGGTTTTGTGCACCTGACACATTATACCAATTACACGTGCTGGAAGAACAACAGAAAGGCAAATACACAAGATGCACACGGCTGTCCCCACTGCCCTGAAACGACAACTCCCCTCCTTGCCCACCCGAGCCACCTCGGGAAACACTTCATGGACAGTGGAGTAAAGTGCTCGGAGCCGTCCAGACCCAGCTGACACGAGCACTCCCACTGCGTGGGTCCTGCGTGGAGAGAGGGCACAAGGGCAGGAAACCGCGTTTCACTTAGAAACTGGAGTGAAGACGCAAAGCCACAAATAAATCGAATGGCAGGGACAGTCTCCTCTGTCCCCTAGGGCAGTCACGTAGCTACCTGACCCTGTGCAATGACAGCTGCTCTCACAGGTTTCCACCTAAACGCACAGACCTGGCTGCTTAGGAAACAACCATTTCCTGCCAGACGACTGGAACACTTTGGTTGCAATGCCAGCGTTTCTGCCATACACCTGGCAGGGGACAGCTGCCTGGGTCCACCTGCCTGGCAAAGACACCAATGCTCATAACTGCAAAATGGTGCCTCACCCCCTCTGATGCCCCCTAATCCCACACTTGACCCTCCATTGTCTGGGTGCATGAGGGTGGGTTACGATCCCTACCTAACGCCTGTGTATTTCCTACATACTCAAAAGAGATCACTGATCTAGGTGAGGACATCACATATCTCTCATCGAACACCTCAGTCTCCAAAGTCTCAAATCTTGGGCATGATGTTTTGTACGACAGGCTAATTCTTTAACTCTTTTGATGGCAGGCACATTTCTACTGCACGGATGCAGAAACACAGGAATTCCCTTAAAGGGCCATGAGAGCTTAACGCTTCCCTCCCCGCCAGAAGCCACATCCTTCCCCCTTCCCAGAACTCAGGAAGGAGGCCTCAGAATTTTCCAGGTGAGACAGTCATGAGCAGTAGTCCACAAAGTGTGCCCTGCTGAGCGTTGGCGAATTCCTGGCAGGTGGGCACGATGCCCCTGCCGCCTCTTCCCTCCCTCCCATGGAGAAGCTACGCTTGGACCACTTTTGAAAAAATCAGACTGTCACCTAAGACTCCCTCCAGAAAGCTGAACTTTCAGAAAGCTCCAGAAAGATGAAAGGAAGGCCCTTCCCAAGCGGCTGAGCACGGCCTTACCCACGGAGGCTGTGTACGGCTCCGGCACGGAATGCTGGCTGGGCAGGGCCATCTTGGTGGCAGAAGGATAGGGCCCGTAGCCCTGACAGAAGCTGCCAAACGCCACAGCAAAGCACAACACAACGACCTGCAGGGGGAGGGAGGACACAGGACCTGTCCATTCCAAGGTCCACAGAGCAAACCTTTAGACCCATGAGACCCAGAGGCCAAGGAGAAAGGCTCCCTCCATTGGCCAGGAGACTGCACCACAGGTCAGTCCCTCGGAGAGACCAGCAGGCTTCTCCACCCCATGGAAATTGGACTTGGCATGATGGGGAGAGTCTGGGGACAGGAGACAGGGCTGGGCAGTTACGGTACTGTCCCTTCGGGAAACTCACCATGAGGCAGGTGCCAGTCTGTGTGCCGGCCAACTTGCAGGTGCGAGAAACCTTGCCCATCACCAAAGTCTGAAGCTTCTGGAGTTGCTGGAGGAGAGTCCTGCAAACGGAAAGAACAGAAACCATGAAGGAAGTCTGAGATACCACAGTGCTTTGCGGGGACCTGGCCCCGAGCTCCAGGACGGCTGCCGTGATTTTGTGGCTGAATTTGAAGAGAGTGCCAAGGGACAGTCCCCTGTGGAAGAACATGAGGACACCAGTGCCTTCCAGTGCTCAGATTCAGCCACTTCTGGGCTCAGAATCAGCCACGTTCACCACTTGTCCAGTTCTTGTGTTGTTCTGGGTAAGAGGTAAACACCCCAAATTTTCCCCGACATATTGGGACTTGTCTGTTAGCCACTGAAAAAGAGAAAAAGTGAAAACAACTTTCTGACTGGCTACTGATGGTGGTACAGGAGGACTCATTTTCCCAGTGATCGAAGAAGAGAAACATTGAAGCGAAGAAGAGAAACATTGAAGAAGACATAAGAGAGGAGAGAGCAATGGAAGGAGTGGCCAGAGGTGGTGGCCGTGGTTGGAAATGACAGTGCTACCCCTGAGCTAATCTCTCAGACGGCCGACTTGAAGAAAGAGAGAAAGAGCAAAGCCAAGAAGGGCAGAGAGGCAAACAGCCATGGCACCCCAAGCTCTCATGGTCCTTGAAAGCTCACGGTACCTCCACAGCCAAAACTGAGGCCACAGCATGAAAGAGCAAAGACGCCTGCTCTCCTGGACACGCCCTCAGAGCCAGGATCTCAGAAAACACCCTCGGATACTGACTGATCTCTCTCGGAAGAGACAGTGAGCAGGAGCAAAAAGAGTTGTCCTGTCCCTACAATTGGACCCTGCATACCCTTAAAAGGGAAGGGTTTGGGGAAGAGCAGGTGGAGAAGTTCCTTGCAAATCCTGACCATGGGGCAAGCCAAAGACGAGGACCTTGTAACACCCTCCTGAATCAGCGCCTTGGAGGTGAACTGTGCAGGAGCCACGTAAAGAGTTGAAGCTCCTCCCTCCTGCCTCCCTTCTCCCCAAGCCCCGTGCACAAGGCAAAGTGGAAAGATTTTACAAGCAGATGCTCTTCCTTGAGTCGCAAAGATTCTCAGAACTTATGCTGTGATGTCACTTTAGAAAGCCAGACAACTTCACTGGCAAACAGGAAACCATCTCGCATTTGCAGAATTCAGGGCTTTCGCAGATAATGTGCCTCTCCCCAATCTCTCTCCTGAATGGCCTTCAAGCAGGTCCTCCCAGGTCTGCAACTTCTCCCAGGCTCGTGCCAACCCAGCGAGTGCCCTGGGTGTACGTCAGTCCAGGATGGGTTGGCCACAGGCCGATACCGCTTTCAGCAGGTAAGTGGATGAGAGTGGGGGTGGAACGGGAGCCCCCCCGAGCACATGCTGGGGAGGGCTTCTGAATCCCAACATCTGTGTGTGGCTCCCAGCCACACTGGGTTTTCACCTTGTGCCATGCTTTTAATTCAGGCAAAACGAAATCATCCATTCCATCAATGAATATCACTCACTGAAATTCTTTTAGATGGCCGCCTGGTTAGTACTTAGGTGTAAATTTTTTGCTCTATGGTTATCTAGAAACAGAATCACACGCAGTTCAGCCCCAATTCGTGTTTATGTCTGCTCACACGGCACAGGCTTTGAATGTGTTCTGTATGGCACTCGAGGCTGGGAAACACTGAGAGCGTGATTACCCTACAGTCCACTTTCAAGAAATTATTAACAACTACACCATAAACAAAAACGAACTAAGGAAACAACTGGATCAGGAAAAGAACCACAGAAATGGAGATCACGTGGAGGGTTAGCAACAGGGGAGTGTGAGGAGAAGAGAGGGGGAAAAGGTACAGAGACTAAGTAGCATAGATGGTCTGTAGAAAATAGACAGCGGGAGGGCAGGAATAGTATGGGAAATGTAGAAGCTAAAGAACTTAAGACACATGGACATGAACTAAAGGGGTGAATGTGGGTGGGAGGGGGTGTGCAGGGTGGAGGGGAATGAAGGGGCGAAATGGGACAACTGTAATGGCATAATCAATAGAATATATATTTTTTTAAAATCCTGTCATTTGCAACAACGTGGATGACCTTGGAGGGCGTTACACTAAGTGAAGCAAGCCAGACTGAGAAAGACAAATATTACGTGGCATCAGGAATATATGGAATCAAAGAAAAAGTCGAACTTGGAGACACGGAGCACAGAGTGGAAGGGGCTACCTGGGGCCGGCGGGCGGAGAAAGCGGGGCGGCTGAGAAAAGGCCGCAGGCTTTGAGCTGTAAGATGAATAAGGTCTGAGGGTCTCGTGTATAACGCGATGTCTACAGTTGATAGCACTGTACTATATAATTAAAATGTGCTACAAAAACGAAGCTTGAATGTTCTCACCGAAAAAATGAAAAGTAAAAGGGTAACTACGTGAGGTGTTAGACGTGTTAATTAACTCGCTGTGGGGTTTTTCCTTTCGCAATCCAATCCTCCAATCATCATCCAATCCATACATACATCCAATCATCAGGCTGTGCACTTTAACCATCTTAAATTGCACTGTTAACAACGCCTCCATGAGGCTGGAAAACAAGGAACACGTTTGCACTAAATGATCACATGACGCGGGGAGCTTTTTTCCTCTTCACACTTTTTCTCTCTTCTCCCCGACCCTCCGGCGAGCGCTCCATTCTGACCCCAGCACGGCTGCCTGTCCAAACCTGAGCCCTGCCTGAGCCTAGGACCACAGGCCCACTTCCCAGGCGGGTGGGCAAGCTCTCTCCTCAGAGCTGCGATGGGGCTGGAGGACCACGCACGCCACTGACCCCCGCGGGTGCCAGCCCAGAAGCCCCCACTGGGTTCCCCAAGAAGTTTTCTTAGGGCAGATGTACAGGTGGGCACACCTCCCGCCGTAACAGGCAGTGAGGTCTTTGTCACCAGCTGAACGATGGCCAGGGGCCACCCTGTCTCCTGGGCTGCCACCTCTGTGAATGACAGTTGCCACCTCTGCTGGGCACCCCAGCTCCCACGGGGCGCCCGCGTTCAGCCGCGCCCTGTGCACGGAGGGGAAGGTGTCTCCACCCGGGCCTCAGCTGGACGGCAGCTTTTCAGATGGCACCGAGCCCGTTTACTTCTGCTCCAAAGTCCAAGGTGCTTTTACAGTCAAACCAGCGTTTCCCATTTTTACCCATTGTCCCTATTCACCCACACCCTTCCCCGACTTCCCCCCTGGCCCTTCCCTGCCCCTGTCCAGCCTTTCAAATGGGAACCACCGAGAAAACCAAACCCACCTGGTGCTCGGAATCACTCCTCCCCTCCAACTGCGGGGTTAGAAGGCAAGGCCTGCTACCCCCTTCCCTAGAATGGAGTTTCCCAGGAGGCTCCGCGGCCCCCTAAAAACAGACTTCTAACAGGCCAGACACCCCTAAACCCCAGTGGTTGAACACCTCAGGCTGCAAGTCGGGAAGGAGCACTTCCAGGCAGCTGGGCAGCAGAGAAGGCCTCGTGCCCACCGGCGGTGCGGCCCTTTGCTTGGCACTCATCCGCACACCCTCTCCAGACGCCAAGGTAATTACACTCTGAACCCGCTGCAAGTGAAAAGGTGTGAGTGGTGGTCCCTCCCTGATTTCCAACAGTTTGTAATCCAATTCTTTAAGAAGCGCAAACACTTAGTTTAAAATAGACTTCAGTTTGAAACCTTGGCGGAGGGTCCAAAAGGCTCCCCTTCCCACACGCCCCAAACACAGACTCCGGTGACTGGTTTAGGGCAGGAGACTGCCCCCGTTCACGTTACAGTCCCTGTGGAGGTCAGCAGAGGCTCTGCTTTTACTTCTTGACCTCTTGAGCCAATACACATTGAAAGCTGCTGGACTTGGAAATTACACCCCTCGGAGCTCCCTGATAAGATTATCTGTGGGACGATTACGGATTAACCAATTATTGGCCATTACCACCATAAAAAGCTCCTCTACCAGGAGAGGTCTGTCTGGAAGAGGGAGAGGAAATGCGAGGTGAGCACGCACAGGACTCTGGGGGGACCGCGGTGGCCACCCTGGCAAGCACAGGACACAGCAGGGACCAACACCAGCAGGGAGGTTTTCCCCAGTGGGGGTCCCAGGAGGCTAACTGCCCGGGAGAGCGTCTGCACAGGAAAGAGGCCTCTCGGAGAAGGTCATGAGATATGCTGGCCACGAATATGCCATCTGTGCCCAGGCCTCATAGTCAAGGTCATAGTCAAACAGATATGGCCATTATCGAAGAAGATCAAAGCAATGGGCGGAACCTGGGCAGCTGTTCCGTGGAATCAGATGCATCAAATTTCAGAGAAATAAGGATTCTGTAGGAATATGTTCATTGATATAAAAATATGGCCAGTGTGCTTTGCTAAATGGAAAATTTTCTTAACAAAAGACTATGTGCAAGAGAAATGTATACAGGTATAAAATACTCTAAACTTATAAAATGTATAAAAACTCAATAATGTCAATACATATCTGAGTAAAAAGATTGCAGTTTTAAAACGGTATTTTATGATTTTTTTCCTACAATGACTGTGGGCGTGTAAGGTTTTTTTGTTTTGTTTTTTTTTTTTTGAGGTCAGCCTGGAGAAGGAAGGAGAGACCCTTCATCACCAGCACCCGCTGCCACCAGCACAGTCTGTGCTGAGCCTCTGCTGCTCCCGTGTGGCTCACGGAGGACATGACACCCACAGCCTGAAGACAGGACCCAACCTGGACCAAACTCCAAGGTTTTCCTGAATAGATTCCTCTTCCCCCTAATACAAGTTTGTGGCCTGGACTTGTCCCACTCATTAACACCAGGCTTGCGTGGGGGACAAAGTTCTAGGATGGGCTGGGAACTGCTATCTTGCTCCTGACGCTAAAGAGATGGGTATGGCAGGGGGTCAGCACCCAGAGAAGGGCCGTGGTGGGAGTGAAGGTGGAGATAAGAAAGGATGACGCCTCAGGAGACTAATGGCCAAAGGCAACCATGACTCCAGAATCTGTAATCGGCACTGGAAACCTCTTCTTTGTCTCAGGGGACCAAGGCGATGCCCCATGGAGCTGGGGGTGGTTACTTACTTCTGCCGTCTGTCTACAGAGCATTGAGGTGATGGCCCCACCTACTCATGTGAGTGCAGGCTCCCAGAAACGCAGAGGGGACATCGGGAGGTGCACAACGTTCAGCATTTCCCCCCAGGGGAGTTTTAACTTACAGAGAATCGGCTTCTGTTGGAGCTACAAACCATGGGGATTTGATAAAGTTATTATCGAATGGCAGGCAAGTAGATTTCACCTGATCTTTTAGCATTGGGAACATGGCTAGAGAGCATTCGTGCTAAGCCTTGAAGTGATGGACACTTTGCTCTGCTTGAATTGTCGGATCTACAACAACTGAGGGCAACAGGACCCCCTGACGAACCCCCTTACTCTCACAGCACAGGGAAGCACCACACATGACACCCAAACACACACATTCTATCTGGAACTTCCTGACAGCTTGTTTCTGAACCCTAGACCGCACCCCTTCCTCCTGCTTATGACCCAGGAATGAAGCTCCATGTGGTCCTCCTGCGTGGTGGCCCCAGAGTCAGACTGTCTGCATTCAAATGCAGCCCCAGCATCACTGTGTGACCCCGGGCAACCCGCCCAGCCTCTCTGAGTCTCAGCTACCTCCCCGCTGTGATGGTAACAGGATGACTGCGCGGGGCTGTTGGGAGGTTAAATGAGTTGACATCTACAAAGTGCTGAAAACAGTGCCCTGGCACAGCGAGTCCGGGAGAAACTCATTCACTCATTCTGTCCTTGAGTTATACTTCAACATGGGTTTGAAGTGTAACTAATTAGGTAATTAATTTTTAAAAAACAGTAATTAAAAAACAAACTTAATGTTCTCTATTCTTTTCTGCACTAACAAAAATCCTTTCTTACTAAAATGGGGTGACAGTGAAATGGCCAGAGCCTCCTTATCCACCTCTGACGTCTGGTGTCCTTTTTAGGAGAAGCAAGCCTATTGACTTAATTCTCCTCTGAGCCTTTCCTCAACCCCCTCCAGTCATAGCCCTCATCAGAATCAGCATCTCCATCAGTGCCACGTGTTTCAGGAAAAGAGCATGTGTGTGCATGGTGTGTGTTTGTGTGTGGTCATGTGTGTGTGCATGCATGTCCTGTGTGTATATGTCTCTGTGTAGAGGGGTACAGCCTTCCTGGCACAACTATACTTTCAAAGGCATCCCCTCCACTTTCCTTCTGGCTCTGGCCCTGGATCAGTCTGCCCCCTGCTGGTGTCCCTTCTTTAGGCAGTTCAACCAGCCCCTGACTCAGCAAACTCACCTGTTGGTGTTCTCCAGCACCTCCACCTTCTTCCGAAGCTCCAGGTTCTCCGTGGAGCAAGACTCCACCCTACCCAGGAGAGAGGAAGAAGCAACTTTGTTTTATCAGTAAAGCAATGCTGAGCCAGAGGCTTGGGTAGAAGGAATTGGGAATCAGAGAAAGACAGGGAACCAGCTACTCCAGGAAGCCTGGCCAACCTGAACTGGGAGGAAGTGGGAGGAGACAGGAGGAGAAAATGACAGAGTTGGGTAACAAGGGCCTCAGTGACAGAAAAGGAACAGGCTGGTGCAGAACGTGAACTTCCCTGAGGGTGTTCCAACCTTGTTTCCTCTGACCTGGTCCCTAGGGCTCTCAGGGCCCATCACCCGCCTCCCTGTGAGGATCAGGTCTGGGTGGTCCCACTATGCACCACGGGAAGGATTAATGGGAAGCCAAGGGGCTCAGGGCAAGGCAAGAAGGGAGGAGGAGAATGCATGCCCCAAAGACGCAAAGAAGAGATTTTCATAGAAACCTTCTCACCCTGGATGCCTACAGAAAATAATAGACCAGGATGGGACTACTTCAGAAAAGCTAACTTCCGATGGACTTCTGCCAAGATGGAGGCATAGCTGGAGACACTGTGCTTTCTCACACAACCAAGTTTAGAGACAACAAAATATTAGCAACAGAAAACACAGCCAGAACACAGAAAATTGAACTTTTTGGAAGTCTGACAACAATGAATTCTTCAGCCTGACCAGTAAGAGGGGCGAAGCCAGCAGCAGGTGGAGCGGGGTTGCATAAGAAAACTCAGTCAAACGAACTCAGGCACAGATCCCAGGTGTGGGGTTGCAACGGGCGGACCCAGTGAGCGACCAGCGACCCAGCGATCGACCAGCGACCCAGCGAGGGCGCAGGGTGGCGGGTTGACTGTGGTTGCGCATTCCTGTGCAGATAGGCCAGACAGGGAGTGGACGGTGAGATGGGACCGAGCAGGCCCCAGGGGGAGGAGGCAACAGAGGGCGCTGCCATTTCCCCACTCTGACCCCGCCCCCACATACAGCCTCACAACCTAGCAACGTGGGCGGCCCCGCCCTGGTGAACACCTAAGGCTCCACTCCTCACACTTAACGGGCTCAAACAGACCAAAAATGGCTCAGGAAGATCTCAAAGCCCCAGAGCCCATAACTCTAAGCAACAAAGAAATAGCAAAACTTTCAGATGCACAGTTCAAAACACTGGTGATCAGGATGCTCACAGAACTGGTTGACTTTAGTCACAAATTAGAGGAACATATGAAGGCTAAACTAATGGAAATGAATGGAATTCCACAGGAAACCCATAGCGTTGAAAAGGAAACTGGGACTCAAATCAATGTAGTGGACCAGAAGGAGAAAAAAAATAACCAAACAGAAAAGGATGAAGAAACAAGAATTCAAAAAAAATGTGAAGAGGCTTAGGAACCTCCAGGACATCTTTAAACGTTCCAAAATCCGAATTATAGAGGTACCAGAAGGGGGAAAGGAACAGCCACCAGTGGAAAACTTATTTGAACAAATAATAAAGGAGAATTTCCCCAAGCTGGCAAAGGAAATAGACTTCCAGGAAATCCAGGAAGCTCAGAGAGTCCCAAAGAAGTTGGACCCAAGAAGGAACACACCAAGGCACATCATCATTACATTAGCCAAGATTAAAATGAAGGAGAGAATCCTAGAAGCAGCAAGAGATAAGGGGACAGTCACCTACAAAGGAGTTCCCATCAGACTGTCAGCAGATTTCACAAGAGACCTTCCAGGCAAGAAGGGGCTGGAAAGAAGTATTCCAAGTCATGAAATCCAAAGACCTACAGCCAAGATTGCTCTATCCAGCAAAGCTTTCATTTTGAATGGAAGGGCAGATAAAGTGCTTCTCAGATAAGATCAAATTCAAGGAGTTCATCATCACCAAGCCCTTACTATACAAAATGATAAAGGGACTTATCTAAGAAAAAGAAGATAAAAAACATGAACAGTGAAAGGACAGCAAACTCACAGTTATTAACAACCACACCTAAAACAAAAGCAAACTAAAAGGACAGCTAGATCAAGAGCGGAAACATAGAAATGAAGATCTCAAGGAGGGTTAGCAACAGGGGAGTGGGAGGAGGAGAAGGGGGGAGAAGGTACAGAAAATAAGTAGTATAGACGGTAGGTAGAAAATAGGTAGGGGAGGGCAAGAATAGTATCGGAAATACAGACTCTAAAGAAGTTGAGACACATGGTCATAAACTAAAGGGGGGAATGGTGGGGGTGGGGGGTGCAGGGTAGAGGGGAATGAAGGGGGGAATAGAACAACTGTAAGGGCATAATCAATTAAAAAAATTAAAAAAAAAAAGAAAAGCTAACTTCCAATAGAAACTTCAAGAACCAGCAGGATCCTCGGACCACTCCTTTCTCCAGATACAGAGGAAGATTCTCATTTCTGATGCGGGGCCTCCTTCCCACCTAAAAATGGTATTATTTTGTTGGCTAGAGAACTATTTTCCACGGCCAGTGCAAAATTATATTTCATTCACATTTTTCCAACAGCCCTTCTGACATTCATTTCAGGCTTTTCAGAAGAGCAAAGGGTACCTTCAAGCATTTTTGCGAAAAGTCTCTTGCCTGTGGCATGAATTACAGCGGACAGAATATAACCAGTCCCACTCTGCCTTCTCTAGGGGAGAGGGGTGTGGCCCAGAGAAACAGGCCCGCTCTGCTCCTTTCAGGGGAAGGGGGGGTTGCCTGTCCCCTGCGGAGTTCCAGGGGCATGAATGTTAATATTCGCACCTGTTTGAAAGGAAGCCTTCAAGGACTTGGGGATCATTGGTTGGAAGCATTTGTGGTCCAAATGCCTACAAAGATTGAGTGCCTGGCTGGCAACATTATGCTAAGTGAAGTAAGTCAGACAGGAAAAGGGAAGAACCATAGGATTCCACTCAGATGCAGGATATAAAGCTGAAAGCAACACATGAGCACACAAGACAAACAAACAAACCCAAACTCATAGACGCAGACAACAGTCTGGCAGACACCAGAGGGAAAGGCGGGGAGGGGATGGTAGCGGGTAAAGGGATCAAATGGATGGTAATGGGCAAGGATTTGAGTTTGGGTGGCGGGCACACCATACAATAAACATACAGATGATGTACTATAGAATTGCACATTTGAAACTTATATAATCTTATGAACCAGTGCCACCCCCATAAGTTTAATTTTGAACAAAAAGATTGTACTTTTACTCCTTGCCATTATATACGCTCCCCCTCTAACGACCACTAGGTGGCAGGCGACCCACGGCTGACTAGCGGGCGGGCTCTCCCTGCAGCTGGGCGGGGACTTCCCTTCGGAGCCCCGCCCACCCCAACTTTGCCGCGTGCATTGCCCAACAAGCGCAACCCGTTCTGCAAGAGGCTTACTTTTTCTCCAAGCTGTCCATGTACTCTTTCTTCTTTCTCCTACTTTCCTGGGCAGAAATCTGAGACATGCGGAAAGGGAAAAGGGTCAGGTCCCAGTTACACCAGAAAGCCAGCCCTGTGCCCAGGGCAGAGAGGAGCCCTGGGCACCACGATCACGGAGGCCCTGGGAGCTCCCTTCTGAGACCAGCACCCTGTTTAAAGAAGGACAGTGGTCTGCAGAAACTTTATATAAAAAACCCAATCCAAAAAAATACAGATTAAGCAAGCACCCACGAGCATTTCTATTTATTTGTTTATAAATTACAGACAGACTGGGGGTGGGGGAAAGAGGAAGACTGGCAGTTAGGAACCGTCCCGAGACCTCAGGTATAGCCTGGGAAACACACTCAGTCGTACTGTGACGACTATGTACGCTGCCAGGCGGGTACCGGGAAAACCGGGGGGGGCGGGGGGGGGCACTTTGTGAACTACATGATTGTCTAACTACTATGCTGAAAGCCTGAAACTAAAACAAAATAATACTGAATGTCAACTGTCATTGAAAAAAAATTTAAATAAAAAGAAATAAATTACGGACATGCCCCACTGAAGGGAAATACCATGTACATCATCAAACAAATTTCACAGGCTGAGATTTTTTTCAGTGATATCAGTGAAAGTTCTGTTTTCCTCCCACCCTGAATGACTCATCGCAAGCACCAAGGATGGGCTCACCCACCCTGGGAGCTCACTGACCCAGGGGGTGGATGCAGGGGCTGGAGGAGGTCAGGCCAGGGGTCACTATGTCCCCTCCCCCACTCCTGGCCCAGGGCAAGGGAAGGGCTGGGACTCAGAGGGGCGGGTGTTTGCCAGCAGGACGGGAGATGAGGCGCACAGGCTCACTTCTGCTCATGGTCTGCTCACAGAAGCAGCTGGCTTTGAAGGGCTCACCTTATTCTTGATTTTCCTCCGGATTTTCTTCAGCGCCTTCTCCTCTGATTTCGTCAGGGGCAGTTTGGTGGGGATGGGGTAGCCCTCCGCGATCAGGGTCCTCTTCTCCTCCTCCGTCAGGACCAGTGGGCCCGAGCCCTGCAGTTTCTGCACAAACCGAGGAGCAGAAGGGGGTCAGAGAAGGACAGCTGGGCCCCCTGAGGCTACCCCTCCTGAGGGGCAGGAGACTCTGTCACACCGTCCTACACAACAGCTAGTGGGAAAGGCTGCCCCATCTGCTCTTGGTGAGAAATGGGCATTTTGAGGCAGAAAGGGAGAAGACACTGTCTGTCATGTGAGTGTTACAACCCACAGATCATAATTCAAGGGGAAGGGAAAGGAACCTCCCATCACTTCCCAGAACGTGCCCCACGGGCTGGGATGTCAGAGTGAAGGGCAGAATTCACTGCTCACAGCCCTGGAGACTTCCTGGCCTCGGCGTGATGAGGGTGCAGCTGATGTGCGTGGGACAGAGTTTTGCTGCCTCCTGAAAATGCAGTTGTGTACGACGCTCTCTGCTCACTGGGGGCTGCTCCTTGTCCTCCACTCGCTGCCAAGGGGCCCAGGGAAGATGAGGACTGTCGCTCATCTGGTGGAACCCACGACAGAAGGACGTATTTACAGTGAGTCCAACAAACCGAGCATCGTCTAGTGTTTGCTCCGCACTCAATGCCATGGAGGACTCAGGACGAACTCCGTCTCTCCCGCAGCTTCCAATCAAGACTGAGACTGTGTGGGTGCCCATGAAAGGATGAGAGCAACGAAACGCTCAGTGGGAAGAGTAACTCGGTGCGTAAAAAAGGTGGAGAAAGAGTACTTCCGTGAGTTGGTGTGGGTGGGAACTGGGCCTCCTGAGGGAAGAGAGGTGATTTATACGAGGGAGGGGAGGCGTTCCAAGCAAAAGGAAGTATTTTGAAAAGTGCAGATGTGCCTCTGCCTCGAGGGGGGAGGTGTTGTTGAAGCTGCAGAGGGTCCTGGCTGACCCTGAGTCACCAGGGCCTGCCCCCCACGGGTAACCAGGGAACAACCAGGCCGCTGAGAAGGGTGTGACATCGGGGGACTTCCCCCGTGAGAGTGTCACATGGACAAACTGGGAGGACACAAAGGGACACTGGATGAAAGCCGGGCTCGTCATCGGAGGAGAAGTGGGGTTAAGAGTGGAGCAGAGAGAGAGTGGAAAGAGTTCATTCCTTTGTCCTTGGTCACGAACTTTCAAATGTTCAAAATTATGTTGGTAGATAACTCCCAGAGAATTTTAAATATCTGATTTAACTCAAATTTCTCTACATGATACACATTCAATGAATTGCGTGTAATTGTTAAGATTTAATAGGCATCGATTAATTCTCGGTACAGTAAGAAGTTAACGGTCTGCCCTATTTTCATTTGGAGAATGGTGCTGTTACAGACGTTAAGGATCAATGGTGGCTTGTGACCTCTGACCTGTCGCTGGGTTCAAAGTCCCATCATAGGGGAAAAAAAAGGCTAACCTACATTTTGGAGCTTTAGACATCAAAGCGTTTAATCCCTGAGGGATTTTTAAGTTCACCAATGATTGCTTCTTTAAAAACGAAGCTCCTTCCTATTGTAGATCACAGGGACCGCCCACATGGGTGGTAAAAGTATGTGATATAATTCAGAGGGGGAAAGAAGACATTTTTATTCCTTGCACTACTGCCACGTAAAAAAACATATGAATAAAACTGAGGGGTGAGCAGAAAGAGACATGTGCTACTAGGTGAGAGGACAAGCCATTCTGAACAATGTTCCTTAAGATGATCACCCTGCTTTAAACCTAAAACTTCCTTACAAGAATAATAACCAAGTAGCCTTGAATGGCAGCCACTCCTGGGGAAGGTCCGGGCAACAGAATGCAGTGGGTTCACGTCCAGGGATTCAGCCCAGACTTACATGAGGCGCTGTGAGGAGCGGGGAGCTGGCAAGGGTGGAGGGGGCCCGCGGCACGACCCTGGCGGGGCCGTGGGTCTGAGGCAGGCCGAAGGGGTGCAGGCGCGGGCTGGGGCTCAGGCTGCCCTCCGAGTCGCTGCTGTGGCTGCTGGGAGGGGTGGGCGGCAGGTGCAGGTGGTCCACAGAGGCTGGGGGACAGAAGGCAGGTTTCAGCCATCAGAGAGCAACGAAGCAGAATCTGGACAGAAACGACACATCCGTAGGGCAGAGCGCCGAACGCCGACGACTGAACAAAACAACGAGGGACCTCCACTAGTCGATACAAGATGTATTGTTAAGAGGGAGGGAAACTCAAGGTGCAGAACAGTGTGTAAAGTAGTCCTCCTTTCATATGAAACAGGAGAAGAGGAGGAAACAGTTATGTTTGCTTGTACCTGCATAAAGAAACGCTGGTAACTCGGTAAGAAAGGAATCAAATGATGACCTCAGGGCAGGGGGAGATCAGGGTAGGGAGGAAAAGTGCTGGCAAACCTCCCACTGTATTCATTCCGTATCATTTCTATAGTTGGACTTGGAAACCTTCTGAATGTATTGTGATCTTAAACAACAACAGCAACAAAAAAAACAGCCTGGGAGCCCAGGAGGGTTTGAGAGAAGCTCATTTGTTTCTGGAGGGATGTGCGTGGCAGGGCCACAGGCGAGAGGCCGGGCACTCCCCATTCAGCGAGTACTGAATCCATCCGCGGAGGACAGCAGGGACCGGCAAGTCAGCGGGGAGGGCGGGCTTCCTCCTGCAAAGCCCTCCCCTGCCACCTGAGCCTTCAGGAAGGCACACAACGATCTCTGGGCCAGGCCAGGAGCCTCAGTGAGTCTCAGCGACGTGTCTCCACGGCAGCCAGGATGGGTCTCAAGAGAGAATCCACTCTGAGTTCACTGGGAACCAAAGGGTCGCTGGTTTGACTCCCAGTCAGGAAACATGCCTGGGTTGTGGGCCAGCTCCCCAGTAGGGGGCACTCAAGGGGCAACCACACAATGATGTTTCTCTCCCTCTCTCCTTCCCTTCCCTTCTCTCTAATAATAAATAAATAAACATATAGAACAAATAATAATAATTTTCCAAAATAGTAAAAGCTCTGGGCTCTCACTCCTTTTCCAAGTGGTGGATCTTTCCACTCTGCTGAAACACCGTGAGAACCTGTCGGTGTAACGGCGCCCAGGGCGGGACCTTGGGAGGCCCTTCACCTCCCAGCCCTCCGGGGGCCTCTGCAGCGCTGGGCACTGGAGCAGCTCAGAACTGGGCACAGCGCCTGGCTGCCCCCCACTCCCGGGCTTGATGGACCAGGGAACTGCCTGTCAGCTGGGCATGAAATGTGGGCTGTGCACCAAGGCTGACAAGCCTGGCGGTGGGGGCACGAGGCAGGCATGACACGCCCACTGACCGAAAGCCACCTCACAGGACGGTCTGGTCACAGAGTCCTCGCTGGGCAGGTCACAGGGGGTCGTCACCCCCCAGGCCCACAGCTTCCTTAGCGAAGGCCAGTCTTTGCCTCCCTCTGCCCGGGTGCAGCGAGGACAGCACACCCTCGGGTGTTACAGTACTTTCCTCTCCCTGTGCCTCCAAGCACAACCGCCCGCACTGGAGCACCAGGCCACCCGACCACGGAGCCCCTCATTGTCCCCCTGTCCCCACATGCCGTCTCTGTGTAGCTACCCTGCACCCACCCGTGAAAAAAGCATGTCTCTCCATTTTGCCTTTCATCCAGCACCAGGGATGTCCCCACTTTGCTTTTCCCTGCCCCTAAATCTGCCACCAATGGATTTCATGGAGCCCTCCTTTCTCCTCCTCCTCTGATTCAAATGCACAAAGCTGCAAACTGCCCCTCTCTGGAGCGTGTTCTCAGTCTGTTGAGGTTTTGCTTCCTGGCAATTGTCGTCAGTTTGGCTCAGAATGAACTCATACAGATTCTTCACAGGTTTGGACATTTGTGACATCAGCAGTGGGCCATGGCAAGGCAGCCGTCTGCTCATCTTCAAACAGAGAAGGCCCGATGCCCTCTGGATGGAAAGGCCTTTCTGAGGCAGGACTACTCACCTGAGGAAAACGGCCCCGCCCAGAGCTGCCTCTGCAGGTAACCAGCAGCAGCTGGGCGGTCACTCTCCTGCTCAGATTCCTGAACTCCTGAGGGGGGTGGTGATAGGTCCTGCCCCTCTCAGCCGCCCCCTTCCAGCCACGGTGTCCCATTTCCATTCACAGCACACCCGGCTTTTTCTCTCATCTTCTCTCTCATTTTGACCCTCTTTTTCTTTTTCTCACGTGCTAATTTTTGCTTGATGCTTCCCTTTTTCTCTGCCAAGGTCTTGCCAGAGAGCTCCCTGGGCCTTTTAGTGTCTATGGGCACTCTTAGAGCTCAAGAATGTTCTAGAACAAGGCTATACTCCTCTATTGCCAGCACCCTGCCAACAGCTGCAGGCAGTGAAGGAGGGTAGGCCTGTGCCGAAAACATGTGCTCACCTGGGGTGGGGTGGGGTGTGTGTGTGTGTATGTGTGTGTGAGTGAACCGAGGTTTTCCCAGCACCATGAGTCCCCACAGCACTTCCCAGTGTTAAATGAATTAAACGAGAAGGCCTTCAGACTGAAGTGCCCTGAATATCGTAGCGGCCTGCACACACAAACCAAAATCTAAGCCTGCAAACGCACCAGTGCCACCAAACAGAAACCACAGGGCACCAATCACAGGCAGCCAAGCTGGCTGGAGGCCAGAGCCGTATGCCCTGACTTTGCTCCCATCTCTGAGACCCCCCCCAGTGCTGGAGGGAGGAGGTGCGTAACCTCTCAAGGCTGGGTGCTGCCCGTTTGCGATCCATCTTTGCTCACATAAACTCAAAACATATAATACGCCTCAGTTTATCTTTCACCAATGGTTAGACAGACAGACAGACAACAATCAGGAGGAAACTACCCTGTCAGGGACACTGCCATCTCCCACCTGTGGCTGGGACATCCCGAGAGCCAGCCAAGGGTTCCTGGAGCTTCCCTGTGCCTTCCGCTAACCCACATCACTCTACCTCGTTTCTCCCCACCAGAACCACAGAAATGACAGGGAAACCGAGGCAAACTGGAACCTCCACTTTCCTACCTGGTGCGAGGGCCTGACTTGGCCACCGGAGCCTCAGTATCAGATTTCTAAATATCGTTTGAAACGAGTTCCTGGGTTGCTGAAAGGGCTAGGACAGCAAGAAGCGGGAGGCCCTCAAGGATATCAGGTTTCCTGGTCTCTGTTTGTTGAGGACAATGAGGAAGGACTGCTATTTACTCCTGTCCTCCCGTGACCCCAGAGGCCCGAGCCACCGTGGGACTCACTCACACAGTTACGCCACTTTTGGGAGGTGCACTGCAACATAAATGAAATGAACACCATGCATTTGATGCCAATAACAAGTGTCATAAAAAACAACAACAAAAAACCTACTTTACAGCAGTATCGGAAGCTGAGAGGCCCAAGGGCATATCACTCAGTGCAAAGAAACACTGTCTCAATATGGCGTCTACTCAGTATGATTCATTTTTTAAATGCAATCCTTTCTCTCTTTTGCTGATAATAAAGGCAAATGCCGACCCTGATTAAATGGTCTCAATAGAAAGGGTAGGTACAAAATACACAGGAGGAGGCTAAGAATAGTATAGGAAATGCAGAAGCCAAGAATTTGTATGTATAACCCATGGACACGAACTCGGGGGGGGGGAAATGTGGATGGGAGGGGGTGTGCAGAGCGGAGGGGAATAAAGGGGGGGAAAATGGGACCACTCTAATAGCATAATCAATAAAATATATTTTAAAAAACAAAAATTATTCTATGGAAAGAATTTTTGCACATCATGAAACACTAACTGAAAATTGACCCAGCGAAAGAAAGAAAGAAAGAAAGAAAGAAAGAAAGAAAGAAAGAAAGAAAGAAAGAAAGAAAGAAAGAAAGAAAGAAAGAAATGGTCTCAGTGAAATCCTACATCGGTTTCTAGTGGAAGGAAGGCAGACCGTGTGTCCATGAGAACTGCTCACGCACCATTAAGCACATCCCACGGTACACACGCATGCACCACAGCACAAGCACCTCTCCCACGGCAAACGCTCGTACGGATTTCCTCGTCGTTCGCCACACTAAGGAGCTATCCTTGTACCGGTAAAAGGGAAGGCCGTGGCCTGGCCACAGGCTGGCGCGGGAGGATCTCAATAAACGAGGCAGGGGACCTTCGCTAGACTCTGTGTGACGGAGGGCTCAGGACTCCTAACTGCGGGCTTCCTACGAGAACAACAGGGGGCGGTCAGAAAGAGACTGACACACAGGCAGAAAAAAGTGAAACTGTGACAACTTCAACTATGACACTGAGTTCTAACTAAGCGACAAGAAGCCCATGGGGTGCGTGGACATTGCAAACCGAAAGCAGGCCCTGTGCCACTGCTGTCACCCCAAATCAACTGTTAAAGACGCTGAATTGATCCAGCAGGTACACTGGGAGTTCACGTCCCAGAGGGTTTAAGCGAGAACTGTTGACTAGGTGGCTGCAGGGTGTCTGCTCCTTCACCTCTGCAGGGCGTCACTCCAGTGCAGGGAGCTGGGCTATTCTCCATCCAAGTCTCAGCGGTCTAGAAAGGTTCTGAAAAATCACCCTGGCTAGGAGCAAAAGCAACGTAACAGATTCCGCTGGAAAGAAGTCTGAACATACAAGGGAAGATAATACGTATTTCAAAAATATGCCTTTAGAATCATGGCTTTTAAGAACTGACCTATTCCATGCAGCGAGCTAAGTCTTTGGGACCAACAGGCCCCCAGCACTTTCTCCCACATCCCCTTTCTCTGCAGACCCACAGGGGCCCCTGGTGACCCGCAGGGACACGGGCGAGGAGACAGACCTTCTTTAGGAGAGAAATTGAGGAACTGATCCACTTCGTGAGGCTCCAGCTTAATCTTAGGGATGACTGTCTGGCACGAGGAATCAACCTAGAGGAAGAATTTCAAACACGGTTTTTAAAAACCAGTAACATCCCCAATGAAACACCCAGGGGGACTCGCTGTCATCTGTGTCAGCCTCGAAAGGGGTGGCCCTGCTTCTCCAGCACCAGCAGGGGCCTGGCCGAGCTCAGGGGGCTTTGACAGGGAGGTGGTCTAGCCGTGACCGCCCTCTGGTTGACCCTTGAGATCCCCAAATTAAAAGCCAGGGGCTCCCTCACTAGTCCACTTTCTACTGTCTTTATGGTAATAGAAATGCATTGTATCATAAAACACTCTGAGGAATTTTTAACGAGCCCTTGCCAGTCTATGCTGAGTAGACACTGGGTGAACCGCACCCCCTGCATCCGGATGATGGGCGACACCTACCCAGGAAACGCTTGATGGGGGAAGGAGAGGTATCTGGTCCAAGCACAGGGGGCAAGGCCATGACCCTGACCTTCCCAGTCACACACTAAAAACCAGCTGAACTAAAGTGTGTGCCACCAGGAGCCGGTCCAGTGAAGAGACTCAGGCAGCCACAGAGCACAGAGCAAGGAGCTCCCGGGGGTCGTTGCAGAAATGGTCTGCCCAATCGCTCATCATCTCATAAATGCAATGTAACCAACAAGCCCTGAGAATGAGTGCGCAGCCCAGCAGGGGCAGCTCTACTGCCCTGCACTGCCTCATCCTGAACAGGTAGATGGCGACACTTGCTCAGAGGGGTCCTGGCTTATAAAGGTGGAGTGGCTGTTTATCACTGGAGACTGCATGTTCAGGGAAGCGAGGACTGGCTGCAGCCTGTGTTGGGAGATGCACCAGCAGACTCTGGTCCACAGGGCACACTGGCACACCCAGAAAGCAGGTGAAATTCTACTTGCTGTCAGCATGGAATTGAGACAGGAAAAAAAACCCAAACAATTTCTTATGTTTTCCATGGGTGGCATGATAAGAATGGGTAGGTGGGAGTTCCCAGAACTGGGTCGTTGCAACTCAGCATTGTGGGGGCAGCGGGGAGGTAAGATATTCACAGGAGCCAGCGTTCCCGACAGCCGAGGCGGCTCTGCGAGCCGTAGGTTGCAGCATCCGCTCGCCCAGGCCCTCTCCACTGGCTAAAAATCAATCCTGTGCAACATCCCACCCCCCTTGTTTTACTATGACTATCTATATGGTTTTTAAAATTATTTTGTAATGGTTGTCATAGAAAAAAATGAAATCATAGTTGCTACCAATTTTTCTGGTCAATGCCTTTAAAGGAAATTACATCGTCAGTGCTGACACCTGATGGCATATCCTTAATACACCTATACATACATAGTTGTATATCCTTAAACATATCCAGCCCTGGCTGGTATGGCTCAGTGGATTGAGCGCAGGCTGTGAACCAAAGGGTCACCAGTTCTATTCCCAGTCAGGGCACATGCCTGGGGTTGCAGGCCAGGTCCCCTCTGGGGGCCACGTGAGAGGCAACCACACATTGATGTTCCCCTCTCTCTCTCTTTCTCCCTCCCTTCCCCTATGTCTAAAAATAAATAAATAAAATCTTTAAAAAAACCACATCAAGCCACTAGCTCCAAACAGATTAAATGCCTCGCTAGGGAGTAAGAATCTCTGTCTTTGGATCGAATCAGTTTATACGGGGGACAGTCGAGTGTACCCCAGTATTCACTTCCAGAGCCAGTTCCTCCTTTTCAAAAGGGGTAGAGATGGCCGTGATGGTCAGAGTGACAGAGGGAACGAGTCCCAGCGGCGAGTCCTCCGTAATCGGCTCGGTCTTGATGGTGGCTGAAGGGAAGTCTGCGGACAGGAACCACTTCTCGCTCTCTGCTTCGTCTGTCGGGGGAGACAAGCACAGGTGTGGACTGGCTCGGGGCCGCGGGCGTAAGTAAGACAAAGGACCTCTGATCTTTCTCCTCAAAAAAAAACAAAACAGCTCCAACAAAGAATTATTGAGAGTAGAATAAAAGGAGGGCGTGAGAGAGGAGAGCCACGGATAAAGGGATGAATGGCCGAGGGAGAACCGTCCTTGTATCCGCTTGGGTGTGAGTTCGCCCAGAGAAACCCCGAGAGGACCCATCAAAAGGAAAAACTTGGCCTCCTGTCTCCTTCCCCCAGGAATGTGGGAGAATCTCAACATGTCATCTCTTATACTTTTTGGTTTTCAAACCAAGTGCATGCATTATCTATGTCTAAATAAATAAATAAGGACATTTAAAAATGGGAGAAAGCAAATGGCTGGCAAACCGGGGTCTCGGGAGAGAGAACCGCAGACTGTGGTGGGGAGGAATCTCTACCCTCCTCCCAAAGGACAGCGTTTGGGCTTTTTTTTTTTCCTTCTCACTCTGTCTTTTGTCTTCTTTTGTTCCCCTACAGCCCCACTTATGCTTTAAACCAGCCCTAGACTTCCAGAACTTTCCCTAGCCCTCTGGGAAACCAGAGTGTGTAACCACCATCTGGCCCTTGCTGAAATGGACTAGACTCCTCCAGAGAAAAGGGTTGGATTGGGCGGGCCCGGGTCTGGGTTTGCCGCCGGCTTTCGTGGTCATTACCAGCCCCGGGGTTAGCGGCAAAGCCACACAACAGCACAGACAAAAGCACGGCTACCACTCAGCGCACATTCGTCCTGGACTCAGTGCGGTTCCACGTGTTTCAGACCCGGCCCCTCAGCACAACCCTGGGAGAGGAGGGAGGAGGGCAGGAAAGGAAGAGCCAAGATTGCAAACGGGGCAGAACAAGAAAACCACAAGTCAGAGACTCTCCAAAATCAGCCTTCCTCAGCTAATCCCGGTTTTACTGAAATGAGGAGAAGGCATTTCGACACTCACGCACCACACGCTCGGTGAATCCCTACTGTTCATGGGAGCAAAGTCGTTCACGTTATGAAAGGATTTACACCGGAGAATTGGACCCAGGTGGTCTCATGAAAGTGACCCACTGCTGCCAGGGGTGGGGAAGATCGAGCACAGCAGCTAAAAACTAGAGTTTGCAATTATTAAATGGTATTTCCTAAGCAACTTCCTTGCAACCCAAGAAAGGGTCAGATTCACATTAACAAAGGAAAATGATCTGCCCCCTAAATCCAACTTATAATCAACTTCCTTAACCCAGGCCCAGTGTATTTCCTAAAGTCAAATGAAGATGGGCGAGGAGGTGTTTTGCTTTCAGGGCTAGTTCTATAATGCTGCCTAATGATGCCGAGTGTGGGGGTGTGATGAGGGAATTTCCAACTCTCTGGGGTGGAAAGAGCCACATCCTGACCTAGGGGCAGGGGAAGGAGACAAAGGGCCCTTTGGTGGCAGCCAGAGGAGGGAGACACAGAATTCTACCAGCCGGACGGGCACCCAGCTCAGCTCAGAGAAGCAGCTGGATGAAGAAGAGTTGATCACCATTCTCCAAAGGAGCTTAGAGACTAGAAGACTGTCACCTGTGAGAAGAAACATTGCAGACAGGTGTGGGGAAGGGTTAAAGAGACAGAGAGAGAGAAGAGACCACGCTTTCTCTACTCAGCAATGAAAACAGGATGTCCCTGCTGTCCACACCGGGCAGTGTTTATCCCCAGCAGAAGCTCCGCAAGGGTGGGATGAAATATGGGATGAAATACACAGCCTCCGTAGACACTTAAATTAACAGTAGGAAGACACCCCTGAGAAAAAGGCCCCACGTGACTGCCAGGAAATGGAGACAAGGCCAGGTCCCCTGGCCGTGAGGTTGTAACAGTGATACAACTTAAGTCACAAGGCAAACAAAAGAAAAGGCAAAAATAAACACACAAAGGAAATACAAAATTTCAACACGATGAAGATAGATAACGAAATTGGTTCTTCCACCCTAACTAAGCCATTCTCACAGTGCACACATTCATCAAATGTGTCAAGATAGCTTATATTCTTAATGTTCCGTATCCTATGCCCCAATTTTAAAAGATTTCTACCAATAAAGTCATCGCTCTATCGGAGGTAGAGACGGACAGACAAACCGCGACCCTTGAACTATAACACCTTTATCCCACAAAGACAGCAGGGGGCCTTCAGGTGAGAGGCCCCAGGAAGCTGTGACTCTGTCCCTGAGCTATTCTGAGGACTGACAACCGGACTGCCTTCCTGCCTCCACCCCAAAACAGCCCTTTAGCCCTCCACCTTGACAGGTCCTACTTTTCTGAATTAGAAGTTCAAGGCCATCAAGCTCAAGTACGTCATCTCACAAACGAGGAAACTGATGGGCAAGCACAGTGCAAGTCAGTGGCGGGGCCCAGATCTCTGTCTTCGCAGGCAGCGGTCTTTCCATGAAGGAACGACTACACATGCAGATAAAGATGTGTGCACAAACATGCTGACAACAGTGTTGTTTACCAGTGCAAAACACTGAAAATCGCCAAAACATCAAAGAGCAAGGGCAAAAAACAACAAATTAGGGTGCACCCATACCATGGAATATTTACATATCCAGTAATATTACATTGCATTAATCTTTTTTAATAGCAAGGCAAAGAGTTATAGTAAAATATTAAGAAAAATCTGGATATTAATTTGTACTCTGGTAATGAAGAAAGTGATGAGGGGGGAAAAAAAGACTCAGAGGAAATATGCCAAAAGTGTATCTCCAGAGAATAACCCAAAACACATGACTTTTTAAAAAATTTTACACTTTTTTTTTAGTGATATCTCCTTGTGGCTTTAGTTTGTATTTCTCTAAGGGCTAATGATATTAACATCTTTCCACCCTGGTTGGTGTGGCTCAGTGGATTGAGCGCCAGCCTGTGAACCAAAGGGTCACTGGTTTGATTCCCAGTCAGGGCGCATGCCTGGGTTGTGGGCCAGGTCCCCAGTAGGGGGCGTACGAGAGGCAACCACACATTGATGTTTCTCTCCCTCTCCTCTTTCTCCTTCTCTTCCCCTCTCTCTAAAAATAAACTAATTCAATCTCTTAAAAAAGAGAAAACCTGTCTACATTCTTATTTGCTACCTGCATATCTTCGTCAGTGAAATGTCTGCTCTTATCTTTTACCCATTTTCTAATTGGATTTTTCCTGCTGAGTATTGAGTTTTCATATATCCTAGACACTACTCCTTTGCCTGGTCTGAATTGCCTGTGCTGGGACTACGTTGTGCCTGGATGCTCTCACTCAGGGGCACGGCCTGCTTCTTCCTGTAGTACTTTATGCCTTAGGGTTGCAGGTGTAACACGAGGCCAAAGCCCCAGTGGCTCAAGGGGCCCACTCAGCATCCTTCAGATCAACAAGAGTCACTGAGCACCTCAGCGTGTGTGTAATGAACTGCATCACCGGCCCCAGCTCTTTCCTCCGCCAGCTACCTGTCCTTTGCCAGGTATTCCGTAACCTCCTACTGTGGACTAACGCCCACCCCGGGACCAGCCACACCACTTGCTTTGGGGATGTTGGATCCCTAACACAAGCAGAGTCTTATGATGCATTTTCACACCTGGAGTTACACAGCTGTACTTCTGCTGTTACATAAGAAGGGTGTGTCAGAAAAATCTATTGTTCCCAGGAGACGGATGACAGACTCATAGAACGGGTAGCCTGGCTAAAGTCAGCCAACTCCCAGATGGCTTTAAACATGTGAGTGCATCTAGCTAAAACCAGCAAAACCACTCAGCTGCCCCCCCGCCCCCCACCCCACCCCTCACACCTAAATCCACCAGCCTCCAGCCAAGACACAGGCCTGCATGCTGTAACAGTAAATGATCGTTGTGAAAGTGAATGAGATTTGCTTTATTGTTTTCCCATGTAGTCACAGAGCTGGCTGATACAATATAGGTGAATAAATACACACACAAGAAATTAAATCATTACATCAGAACCTATTACAACAAAGTAGCTATACTTTGTTTCCATAATAATTCCTCTAAACCATCAATTGTGAACCATATCAATACATATTTGTAGCCTGACATTGGGCCTATCAGTCACATTGCAGAACAAATGACTTAAGAGAAGAAAGTCAGCCGGTAAGCAGCTTAGTGAAACAGCATTCCAGTGCTGGTTGAAATGAGAGAAAAGAGCTTTCATTCTGAACTACTGGGTGTTGGCTTGTACTCTGTCCCTTGGTGGAAATAAATAGTAAATTAGAGAAAACAAATGACAAATGTAACCTATGAGGTAGGAGGTTAACAAAGGCTAGACTGAAAGGGAATGAGAAGAACATGTATTATAATTTCCACCTGACCTTAATTTTGTATTTTTATTTGACTGGCAAAAAAATTCAGTAGGACCATCAAGGCTTAGAATGGGAATTACCTTTAGATGTTTGTGTTATTGGCTAAACTTGGCTATACTTGGCTAAGCAAGTATCATATAGGGTATGATGTGGCTGGTGTGGCTCAGTGGATTGAGTGCGGGTCTGAGAATCAAAGGGTCTGAGGTTTGATTCCCAGCCAGGGCACACGCCTGGGTTGCAGGCCAGGTCTCCAGTAGGGGGCGCGTGAGAGGCAACCACACACTGATGCTTTTCTCCTTCTCTTTCTCCCTCCCTTCCCCTCTCTCTAAAAATAAATACATAAAATCTTTTTAAAAAAAGAGCAAGTGTCAGCACACACTCGACACCTTCTAATTTCTAAAGCTTGAGGCATGGATATTGAGTTAAAATGTCTTCCCCTAAATTGTCTTCACACGCCCTTTGACTTTCATTGCAGAAGAAAAACATCACCCAATAAGGTCAGTAGTGCAGGCTGCAGGGAGTAGGAAGAACCACGGCCATGTCATCTGATTTTATTTAAACAGCTTCCTGTCAAAGGCCGGCCTCAGCGGGCACATTTTCTTGGCATCGCCTCTTTGCTATCAGCAAGGAAATAAAAACAAGCCACTGCCCGTCTCG